ATGTAACAATTTGAAACAACTCATATGACTTTATAATTATTTTTGATAGTTTTATTGCTCAGGCTTTGTGTGCACATGTCTCTAGAAGTGCTTCTATATTTTAACTATTTAGTGAAAATCTTAGAAATTTTTATATGGACATTTTGTGCATTTAGGTTCCTAAGTATATTTGAAACTCTCCCTAATGCTGACATGGTTTGGTTTATCCTTTTGTATGGTTTTTATTTTTGTCTATACTTTACAATATATACAGGGAATTTGTCATTTCTCAAGAGGATTTAATTGCCAATTAACTTAATTACCAATTTAACATGGCTTTGTGAGTTCTGGATATGTTTCTAAAATGTACATAGTACTATGTATTGGTTAAGTACATCAGTCCTCTTCTAAAGGGGATGGGATGTCAGTTTAATTCTAACTTGATTTTATTTAGAATATGGACCCAGAGACAGATAAGGATTTGGACTTACTTCAAAAAGTCATGGTATAAGGGCACCTGGGTGGCTCAGTCGTTAAGTGTCTGCCTTCGGCTCAGGTCATGATCCCAGGGTCCTGGGATTGAGCCCCACATTGGGCTGCCTGCTCAGTGGGGAGCCTGCTTCTCCCTCTCCCTCTGCAGATCTCCCTGCTTTCTCTGTCTCCCCCTCGCTCTCTCAAATAAATAAATAAAATCTTTAAAAAAAAATCATGGTATAATGTCTCTCTCGTTTCCAAACATTACTGTTTTGGTGTGTATTTGTGTAATGATGGTGTGGAGTGGGTAGGGCGTAGGGGAGTGAGTTATATTGGTACCAATTACACATGGTCAAGAACCATCGACTCATATCTCAAGTGGCCTGAGGCAATGTTGCTATAACATTTTCTCAGAATGGACTTCTCTTTGCCTGAGAAGGGTAAAATAATATAGTGTAAGTTAGCTGAGGAAATTGCTATGTGCTCATGAGCCCTGAGAGAAATAAGTTCATCTTCTCACTACAGAAATCAGGTAGTAAGCCCTTATGAAACTTAGTATGGTATTTCTTGCTTTTCGGTTATTTTCTTGCCAGACTTTTGTGGCTTTCATATTTGTGGTAGGCAAAGTGTAAATATTCAGCTATGGCAAATTCTGGACTCTTAATAGCCTGGTAAGAACCAGCAGGAGGAGAGAACACAGTGGGTGACTGAGCAGAGTCAGAGACAGTGAAATGTGGGAAACAGACATGGGTACCCTGGATTGTCTGTTAGCAATCAGCCTGACCACTGTCTGCTTTTACATTCTTCTCCTGCAAGGGAGAACTCTGAAAATACAATTCTCAGAATCCCTTTCCAATATGTTTCTAGGTTAAATTCTGCTAAATGACCGACATTTACATGAGATTTGAAGGGTGCAGAAAGGGAGAGCCATTATTCTCAGGGGCAGCTGAGATCAACCACGGTGGCTTCTGGGATCCCCCTAGGAGTTACCCACTGTTCCTGTGACCCCTGTACTTCCTTGTGTCCCAATTAAAAAACTTGACCAAGGCCACCTAAGTGAACAAGCATGAATTCACATGAATTCAATCCCAGGAATGGAACTCTGGGGCCCTTGAGTTTTTTTGTTTGTTCGTTTTTTGAGAGCAAGCGAGAGAGAGAGAGAGAGAGAGAGCACGAGCAGGGGGAGGAGCAGAGGCAGAGAGGGCAGGGATCCCGTGGCAGGACTTGATCCCAGGACCCTGAGATCATGCCCTGAGCCGAAGGCAGATGCTTAACCAACTGAGCCACCCAGGCACCCAAGGGGCCCTGTTTTTAGCCACTCTCTGTGGTAACTGCCGCACAGGGGAGAGGGGATGCTACTCTGCTCTCTTCCAGTGCACCTGTGTTTTCTTTTCATTTTACCAAATCCTCAGGCCAAGTTTTGATCATCCTTTAACTGTAAACCTTTAACCTTTAACCTTTTTTGATTGCCTCCATTTATCACATCAACTTATAGCATGATCTACCTTATTAAACACCTGAAGAGGTACATTATTTGTAGAATTTATCCAACACCTGAGCTTAGAGAACTTGTACTGGGTAGCTTTATTAGCACTTCCCAAACCTTGTTATGCATCACAATCCCTGAGGGCATTTCAATAATAAATATTCCCACATCCTATATCAGACCTACTGAATGGGAGTTTCTGGGGTTGGGACCTGGACATCTACATTATCAACAAGCACCCCCAGGTGATAAGCATGCATTCAGATAGGTATGATCTCCAAACTGGTCCGAGGAAACCCAGGTTTCAATAGAGGAGAAATTTTTTTTTTTTTTAAAGATTTTATTTATTTATTTGACAGAGAGAGGCACAGCGAGAGAGGGAACACAAGCAGGGGGAGTGGGAGAGGGAGAAGCAGGCTTCCCGCCGAGCAGGGAGCCCGATGCGGGGCTCGATCCCAGGACCCTGGGATCATGACCTGAGCTGAAGGCAGACGCTTAACGACTGAGCCACCCAGGCGCCCCAGAGGAGAAATTTATTAGATGAAGTTCTCCATGCCTACTTCAACACAGCAACTCATTTTTAGCTTGTTTATACATTGAGGTTCCACTGGATTTTATTCCCTAAAAGAGTTCCACTGCTTTTTTCTTTTTTTTTTTTCTTTCAAATAGCTCTCCTCAGTTGTATATATTTTCCTGTCTAATTTCTCAGCAGCCACATGAAGTTCCAAATGCTTTTCTTTTTGCAGCTCACCAGGACACTTTTTTCCATTTTGCATTCAATCTCTTCCTGATTCTCATAGACAACTAGAATTGAGCTGTAAATACTCTCAATTAGACATACGCTCCTTTACTTTTCCCTCAGCACTGAGATCATTGCTTGCATATAATTACAAAATGGAAACACTGAAAAAAAAAAACTCCCTCGTTTTTCTTTGAACAGATTTCCATATATCTATGTGACCTTATTTGTTTGTCATTTATATTAATATATTCTGAAAGCAAAAGGAATATTTAATTTGCTTGACATAATATTCATGAGCTGAGCCAGGTGTACTTAAAAGCTGTGATCACTATGCTAAAGTAATGGTTTCTGCCATTTAATGAAACTATTAGGTTTTATCCTCCCTTGTTTAATGATTATAGACCGTACCCCTAAGATTCTATGTTGTTACTCTAAGGAATTAAGGAGGAGAGGAGACTGAATAATACCAAGTACCGATCCTGATGATGGCTAGAGGTGTATTTCAAAGCACACGCCAATAACATCATGTTCATACACAATGGACAGGATATTTCAGAATTTTTGCCTAAGGAGAATTATACTAACTTGAAATAAAATATGTAATATTTTGAAACTATAATATGTATTTGTATCACTTTCATCTCTATCTATACATCTCTGAGAAAACTGCAGACACCCTGAAGTGTTTTAACTTCTCAAATTTTGCACCTATTGTCACCCTCCTTTTCTCTGTGTACCAAACCTATACCTTGTACCTGATATCTGTGAACCATCATGCAAAGCACTTGATGTGCATCATCTCAAACTATCCTCAGTATAATGACAGGATGTAGCTATCGTATCTTTCCCCATTGTACAGATAAGGAAGCTGAGCCCTAAGGATGTTAAGAAACTTTCTCAAGGCCACACTGCTAGGAAGCAAAGAAAGTTGGATGTCAGTCCCAGCTTCTAACTCTAGAAGCCACATGTCTACTAGGATGCTATTTTGCCCAGCCCTCTCGGGAAAGGAATGTCTTTTCCTTTTTCCTCCTTTCAAAGTTCAGAAGGGGGCATGCTCTCTGGGGTAAGCACTGCCTCTGTCATTTTGGCAGATACATGAATTTGGCAGATATATCAGTTATTTTAACTCTACAAGCTTCAGGTCTTCTGAAAAAACGGGCACACCAACTCTTCAGGGTCGTAGTGAAGATTAAATTAAGTAGTATGTATGGATGTGCTATACCTGGGGCCTCATCAATGGATGTGCAATGAATGCTAGCTTGTCGTCTCGTCTACCTTCCTCTTTTTATCTTTATTATTAGCTCTGCAGGACAAACACACAGACACAAAAACCCTAAGGTGCTTTTTATTCTATGTTCGCTGACTCTCCATAATTGGAGGTGTCTAAGTTAGAAATGAATGACTCCTTGACTGAATGTTGTGACTAGAATTCCAGCCATCTGGGCAACTGGCTTAACCAACACTTAATTCATCTCAACTGTCCAATTCTACGATTCCATGGCAAATGAGCAAAATGCATCATTTTATTTTTTATTGAAGTATAGTTGACACACAATGTTGCATTAGTCTCAGGTGTACAGCATATGGATTCAACAATTCTTTATGTTGTGCTACACTCACAAGTGTAGTTACGATCTGTCACCATCCAGCACTATCATAATACCATCGACTATATACCCTATGCTCCCTTTTATCCTCCTGACTTATTTATCCCATAGTCGGAAGTCCGTAGCTACCACTCGCCTTCACCCATTTTGCCCATTCCCCATCCTCCTCCTTTCTGACACCGTCAGTTTGCTCTGGGTCTGTTTCTGCTTTTTGTTTGTTCATTTGTTTTGTTTTTTACATTCCACATACATGTGAAATCATATGGTATTTGTCTTTTACTTATTTCACTTACTACAATACCCTCTAAGTCCATCCACGTTGTCACAAATGGCATTTTATATTTCAGTTTTTATTTTTAAAATTTACTTAAAAATCTGACTATATTTTTTGTACTGGGAGGGAGGGAGTAGAAAAGAAAGCAGCTCCTGTACTGGGCCCTATTCGGCGGTAGTTTCCTGTTCCATACTTAAGAAAGACTGAGGGGGAAAAAAGGTGTTTGGAAAAATCCAGGTGTAGCTGCTTTGTATGTTATGATGGGTAGAGGGACGAAGTGAAGTGTGAAGGTCCCTCACACCCTCCATCTTGCCTCAGACTTTGTCGGGGAACCTGGGGCGGGGAAAGCGCCATTTGTATTCCCGCTTCTTGAGATTGCTGAGGGCCACGCAGCGACAGAGCGGGACAAGCAGGAAGAGCTACATCCCCGCCCAGCAAGTCCACGAAGACGGCAGGCAGCAGCCTCTGGTCGTCTGGTCAGCTGGACGCGGCTGTGAGGCGGTCTGCGGGCAAGCCCTCGGTAGGAGACTTCATATGGGATTTTAGTGTGTGTGTGTGTGTGTGTGTGTTTAAGATTTTATTTATTTATTTGAGAGAGCACAAGCCAGAGGGGAGAGGCAGAGGGAGAAGGAGAAGCAGGCTCCCTGATGTGGGGCTCGATCCCAGGACCCCGAGATCCTGACCTGAGCCGAAGGCAG